CATCCTCCTACTTTCTCCGTCTACCTTACTCCACTGACATTTACTTTGGTTTCAAATCACGAGTAACAAGTAATTTGGTTTCTGACTCTCTGGAATGAATTCATTCCTTCATGGGGCACTGTGGCTACAGAGAAACAAATTTTCTTGTGAAATTCTGAATTCAATTTTTCAATTTCAGCTCAGCTTTATTGCCACAACATGTAAATTAGTTTTTGCTCCCAAAGCTGCTCTCCTCTCAGTTTGGAACTCACAATGTCTCACTTTATTATTGAATGACTGAATGTGTCAGACTGGAATGGTAAAGAGGATTTATTTTTTCTATTTGTCTGACAGTGTTCAGCCAAGTACTCAGCCAATTAAGTTGTTTGCCTTCGAGTAGAGGTGCCAACTCAAAGCTTTAATATGTGATAAGAAAAGTTCAATGTGTGGCTACACTGCTGCACGTCTGATAATTGTTGGGTTTTAAACAAGCATGTGTTGCATGGTGCTTGCTCTGGAACAGTAATAAAGTTTTTATCATTTCTGTTCATATAAATCAAAACAAGCATGACTTCCTGCACAACTCTACATGTTTGTGTTGGAGAGCTGTTTAGTACAGCACAGATCAGAACGGGTCAGAAGTCAAGTTGAATGTTTGCTTCCACCCCACAGAAGTCAACTACTGTAGAACACTGGGTTTAAAATGGATTATCTAACATCCTCACTTCAATCTTTACATCATGAAAAGAATGAATAATAAAAACAAGGCATGGAGAGTGGTAATGTACTGCAATATGATTACAGTGCGTGTTACTCATACCTGCACCGTATAATGTTGTATGGTACATAATGTTCTTTATACGTTGCTGGATTGTTGGACATTTAACCATTTTTTATACATTCCTTTTTTGCAAAATCTTCATCGGAAAAGTAACTATGGCTGTTAAATAAATGAAGATGAGCGAAAAAAAAGAATATCATTAAAACAGAAGTATAAAGTGATATTACATGTAAAATCGAAATACTCAAGCAATCTCAAAAGTAAACTTACTATAACTGCAGTACTTGAGTAAATATCAATTTTCCTTTCACACAACTTAACCAATCTTTCATCTGTAAGACTACAAATCTACTGTACAAATGAAATGCTTCAAACAGACTTTTGCTGAGTATCCCCTCTGACCTGGACAGTGCTGTGAGATAAGCATGCCACTCCTCGTGGCCTCAATTCTGCTCCAATTATGAATCCATATACTAAACTTTCAGTCCTTCCTGTTGTGTTTCACAAAACAAACATATGTTAAATGAGTAATAAGTGCACTCACAGTGACAAAGACATGCTGGCACAATTCTACATTCACAAACACACATACTGGATGCACTCACACTCTGTGCTCCTCTTGCGTTCCCTCCCACTCCATCTTAGCTCTCAAAAACACACTTGGCTATTATTTCTTTTTGTACTGAGGCTTGCAGCCACCTGTCTGGGAGTGTCTGGCTCAGCAGCATCCTGTGTCTGAGGAACAGAGGGATTTCTATTAAAGTCTCTGGTGTGACTCTCACTTCCTCCTACTCTACCTCATCAGCTAAGAATTGTTATTCAGGGACCGTGTCCTGCAAATAAAAAATAAATAATTCATGGACACAAAAGGTCCCCTTTGGATACACAGACACAAGCACAAGCCTGATGAAAATTTTACGTGTTTATCTGCAATAAAACAATAATAAAAACCCCGAGCTTTGTTTATTCTACCTCACTCATACATACTAAAAACCAATGTGACATCATCCTTAGTGTTTACTTTTCTACATTACAAAGGTGAATAGTTCCCATTCAGACACAGTGTGGACCTTCCAGCTCTCAGGAAAACACAGTCACGGTCTGGCATGATCTCATGTCTACCTAATTCTCTCTTACATACACAAACACAGAGACAGAACAGCAAACAGAAAGTGTGTCACATAAACTTTCAGATACACAACAACCAAGCTTGTGTGCGTTTAAATGGTGCACACTACAGCAAAAACATAGGCACAACACAGTCACCCCCAGCTGCAGTGAACTCAGAAAATAACAAGGCATTGATACAGTGATACTGTCTGAGACACTGGCCATAGGAGTGCACGTGTACCTGCATGCACATTCTATTTACCTGCAGTACTTGAGCCATAGAAACCAGGTGTTATTTCCTGGTCCAGTGACACAGCAGATGCTCCTCTCAGGTTAATGATAAATAGTCAACCATGTGCAGAAAAGAGCCCCAGTCCATCGAGGTACATTTTTGCCCAGCTATGAGTCCATGGCACTGTGAGGCTACCACATGTTCACATGATTTCATCTCCATCCATTGGTAAACCCTGGAGTATGTTGGAGGAATTTTCTGGAAAAAAGAAAAAAAAATCAAACAAACAAACATGGTCACTGATTGGGGTTTAAACATCATCGCTGTTCCTTTCATAAACCGACTTATCACCTCTAACTGCAGATGTGGTGTACTTCTTCTGTAGACTACAACATAAGGTAGACGATCACCTTAACAGAAACTCTCTCCCACGTCCTGAGTTACTGAAAAGTGAGCACAGCAGCGTCCATGGGTCTGTCTATTCACAGAGGGACCTCATATTGTGATGAGAGTCAGGGCCATGAAGAGGCTATAATGTTTCAAAAAAACTGCCCTGGAGGGCGCCCTGCAGTCATGTAGGCTGTTTACTTTATGAACACGGGCTGGTAATAAGCAGTTTGTTTAAAAAAATGGTAATCCTAACACTTAGCACTGTAATAATGCTTAATCATGATTTTCTAATGACCTGTTTATATACACACCTTAAAGTTTTGGAATGTCATGCAGACAATCAACAAACTTCATGCAGTTATAGGGTATCTGGGATTCTAGGGTAGTTTTAACTCCACTACTCTTTATTTCCCTTCCTCTTTCAAGGCAAATGAAACTTTATATTTCAGGTGAAGCATACACAGCAACCACCTCCCACTTTGCACACATGACCGAACAGAACAGAGCGTTGGAAAACACCTAAAATGAGTTAACCACAGAGATAGTGTGCACAGAGATGAGTAACTCTCATAATTATACCACTGCAAAACTGAAAAGTGAAACTATTGTGGTCAGATGAGTGATATTTTTGATGAATCTGGAATAAACACCTAAGAGTAATTTCACAAATGCAATATAAAGAATAAAAAAAATCAATTCCGCTACAGCCACTGAATAAATACGCTACTGTAGGCTGCTACCGGAAGCAGCTTCCAGCATTGGATATGAATCGACTTGACATCGCTCCAAGCCAGGTCTGGGGGCTGGGGTAGGAATGCCTGAGAGGCCCTGTGCAGGAGAGGGCAGTATGAATGAATCAGTGCAATGCACACAGACACATGAGGACACAGTCCACCCACCACCTAGTCAAGTAGCTGACTAGAGCCTACAGTGTCAGTGGAGAAGCTCAGAACAAGGACAAACACCAAGCTATTCTTGCTCCACAAATGAATCCTTTGTCTCTGTGAAAACACACAATATACGTAACTGACTAGTGACACAAGCGTGCAAGGTAACCCACACTAATCATATACAAGCTCAGAGGCATGAACTGTAAACAAACGCAAAAACAAAAAACATGCTTTGTCTGTCAGCTTTTAAGTAACAAAAAATTCTCCACACCTTTCATTCATTTATCGACATGCAATGTTCATGCATCATCAGTGGAGGCTCAAACAGTAAGCCTCATCTTTTTCTATTCATACAATCTGTAACATGCCAGAGGGCAACATCACGCAACCCTGGCGGATTTTATATTTTTGTTATGCAACACTGTCAGTGGGCAGAAGAGGGAGGAGAAGGTAGTTTATGGCTGCATCCCCCACCCTGGCACATAAAGACACACAAACACCACTCAGTCCCTAGACAGTGTATGAAAGGCCAAAAATAAACTATGTACATACATACTGAAATATCTCGACAACTACTGGATGAACTGTCAACATTTACTGTAGCAGCCTAAATACATACTCAGAGCTGCTAGCACAGACAAACTGCAGCGTGTCGTATCTCTTTCCTGTGATGGCTCGCTTTAATTACAGCATGACCAGTCAAAGGTACTGGGCTGTGGGCTACTGTTGTCACTAAGCAGCTCCACTGAAGTTGATGCTCAAGTGCCTTGCTTGCAAGCAACTCATCAGCAGTCGCAACTGAAATGAAGAGTAGTTGACTTAAGTGACTTGCAGTCACAGTTTGCACATCAAGCTTAAATATGTCCTCAGTTAAAACACAAAATTAAACATCTCTACATTTAACCCTTATTGCATTACCAAAACAATACCACATACAGCCCTTCATCCTGTTTCCTAGCTCTCTCTCTTTTTAATTAAAGCTACAGTTAACTTAAGATAGCACTTCCTCTCCCCGCCCCACTATGTTCTACTATGCTCCGCCACACTCAGCCCAACCCTTCAGATATTTGTCGTTATGAAATTGCAATAAATGAGAATGCAACTAAACTTACTGATCAAGCAGAAATAACTGAAAATCTCTCATTGGTTAGAGAAATCAACCCTAACCTTTTAGAAGCTAATTTCTCTGCACTGCTGCCAGTGCTGTCGCTGCCTGCTCATGAACTTAACCAAGCCATCAAGCTCATCTGAAGCATGCCCCTCCATGAAACCTCCTGACACTGGTTATCTATACCCAACTGTCATTACTGGCTTGGACTTGCAGTATTTACAACTTGAATGGCTCTGAGTCATCAAGTGTTTTCACCATTTTTTTTTAATCATACAGACAAGTGGTGCAACACTCTTACAAACTGTGACATCCTGTTGAGGAGCTGGCATGGACCACATTTTGCACAATGCTAACAGCTTGCTGGGCATCAGGCCAGTGTTGACAGACAGTTTCCTCTCAATCAATCTTACATATCCAATCATCTGTAATCATGCCATCTGAGTGGTAATAATAGTTTAATACAAGCACCTTTAAGTCTCTGTGTTTAAACCTGTTGGGCAGAAGAGTAATTTTTTAAGAACCTTTTAACCTTGTGTTGTCATTAAGATGAAGCACTTTGCTTGCATCTTGCATAATTAATATTCATTATTCACTAATATTAACTATATTCCCAACAGTTAATTACTTGACAAAATGTGATGCTCAAGTTAGTTCATATCTAAAATCGTTTTGCTTCATGGTTGTCTCTGTCAAAATCTACCACCACCTGATATTTAATCAGGGACATCTTAATGGTAGTGGGCATATTGTACAGGCTGCATAACCAATCACCAAATCAAACTATTTTCTTAATAATCTTCCTGAATTATCTAAACAACCCCAAATGGCTCTGGACCTGAATTAAATCTGTCTCTCAATCTACTGCAGCTTTGAAATTACCTGAGTCTTTAAAAATAGGAAATGTCAAACTCAGATGAAGAATCTATCATTGACGCATTCAACAACTACTTTATCTCAACTGCTTCTGACTCTAATAAGGCTGTATTAGGAACTCAGCACACAGATTCTATTAACTGTAACTCTGAAACATATTTTTTAAAATTTTAACCTACTCACAAAATATTCAATATTCCACTTTAAACAACACACTGCTCTAAATCAGTAGGCCCTTTTAACTCTTATTTACTAAAGACTGCAGCATAGTTCATTGCAGAGCCTCTCATTTCTATTTTTAATGCAAGTCTTGTATCAAATTTCCACTCCTAACATATAGAAATCCTCATATGTAAGTCTACTACCAAAGAGTGGTATCAGAGATTAGCAATTATTACCCCATTTAGAAACTCTGTTTTGGTTAAACTTCTTGAATCATTAACTCACAAGCTGTTTCTGACAAACAGTAATACAGTCAGTGATGCTCAGTCGTGTTTTAGCTCATAGCACAATATCTGCAGCAATGGCATCATTACTGCACTTCACAAGAAACAACATGGTTCTGCTATTTTTGTTGATTTATCAAAGGCTTAGGATTCTGTAGATCATCAGATTTTGCTGTAAAGGTTAAATCAAACTGTCTTCAGTGGAAATGTAATAGGTTGGTTTAGAGACTCTCAAACAGAACCGAATGTGTAAATGTAGATAACTATAAGGCTGAAGTCCTTTGGATAATAAAGGTGTACCTCAAGGCTCTATTCTGGCACCTGTATTGTCCTCTATTTTTATAAATAATCACACATAAGTGATTAACCAATTCATTGCAGATCTTCAAACTGCATTTCATAAGCTTCAATTATCATTTTACCAATTAAAACAATCTAACTCCCCAAAAAGCTAAATATATAATCTTTTCATAAAAACAAACATAGATAGCCTGGGTCTCAAGAGCTTAGAGAGAACTGAACTGGAGAAAGCCTGTGCATAAAACTATCTTATAATCTAGCTGGATGAAAAAAGTATCCATGTATACCCATAATATTGTGATACATTATACAGTATATGCATGCCTCAGGCTCATTATTCTGCAGACTTGACCCCCCCCCCTACCATTCCTCCTTATGTTTTACTTTAAATGCTGGAACAAGAAATCATCACTGGACCTCACTAAAAATTAGATCTACACTTCACATGTATCTTTTTATTTTTAAAGCTATACTTGGAAAGCTTCCTAGGTACCTTCATGAAATGTTTTCTCTTGCTTCCAGTAGCAACCAGACCGGATCAGCCAGATGGATTACCTACAGTGTACCTATGTACCAAGAGTCTGCTCTGAGTTTGGAAAAACTGCATTTCCACCATGCGAGTTGCACAGTAGGAACACCAGTCAAAATGGCACATATGGTAAGATAAACAATTTTTCCCACAAGTTATTTCTTCAGTTTTTTAATATTTTTACTAATACAGTCTGAACTGGCACAAATCCAAAGAAAACCAAGAGGAAACAAACAATTTTTCAAAAAGACAGGCTATTATTGTTAAGGTTTAGTCCCCCTCACCTGGAGGGTGAGGGAGAACTGGGGTTGGACTCAAGATGGCTGACCCAGGTGCTGGTAAAAAAAGGTGGTTTAATGGAATAAGACAACAAAACAGGGTCCATAATACATACAAGGGAAGGGCAGTGATGACTAAGCACAGAGACTGTCAGCGTGGAAGACAAAGCACGTATTTCTGTATTGCTAACCGCATAATTAGCGTGATAAGGTCAAGCCAAAACGCACAGAGACTGTCAGCGTAGCATCTTACACACGTCTAACAAATGCGTCAAACACAACCTTTGTATAACTTACTTTGCGTATAGTACGTTACACATCGCAATGCTCCGCCGACGACGGGGCATGTGCCAGAGGTATAAATAAGGAAGCCAACAAATCACCGGAATACGCCTCAGGTGTGCGCACCGACCCACGAGTCACTAATTACCCGATGTGACACAGCTGAGGCGTTGATCCCGCAAAAAGGGAGAGCGGGAGAGGAAAAAAGAAAGAGGCAGGTCGCCCCGAGCGGACCTGACAATTATTGTGCATTACGTTGATATTTCTGTCCAGAGTCAGCTTCTTAAAAAGTTATTTACAGTCCAATCTAATCAAATATGAATATGCACAGCCTAATCAAATATGCTCAAAGTTTGTGCCATAACTTAAGTATTCTTTTGGCACATGGATGGAAAATTTCACACAATATTGTCAACATTAAAATTACACTGTCCATATGGATGGATGAATTATTGAGGGATATGATTTCTGCTGTACTGCTAGACATCAGCCAGTGGCTAAGTTGTGTACACTGACTTATCCAATAGTGTTTCATGGTAAAGCAGAAGTGTAGAGACTACATAATTTAAAAAATGATTTTAGGCTACACTTTATGAATGAAGACTGTAACCCTAAGTACATTGCACGAAAGTCATATTCCCAGACCTTTGGAACCCTCTTTTCTTTTAAGTATTGATCCTGTCACATGGAAAGTTGATGGTTATCATTACACTACAAGGTGTTTAAAGTCAGACACCTGTACAGTATACAGTACTAACAAGCTTTTTCAAGCTGAATTCAAGAACAAAAACACAAGAGGCCCAGAATACAGCAGTTAATCTGGAAGGAAACTACAAGAACATTTAATATTGACTGACTAACCACTTTGAGACATTTTAATGCCCAAATTCTCTTATTCCAAATTTGCAAAGTGGATTTCTTTTGTTATTTTTCTTACTTTACTGTGACAGCAAATGAATATCTCTGGGGTTGAACTTTGGGTTGAAGAAAACAAGATATTTTAGGGCTCTGGGAACAACGTGTGAACTTTTGGCAATTTTTTGGCATTTAACAGACAGTGATTAAATGACCCAAATCGTGTTGATGACTCGTTAAAGAAAATAATTGTTAGCTACAGCCCTAACTGAATGCTTACAGCAAGTAAAGCAAGATTTTCCATGAAAACATTAAGTGAAACAAAACCCATGTGGCGTTCAGCAACGTACCGGATTTGCATGAGACTAACCTGGACTTTTACCCTGTCAGACGACAGTGGGTTAACCTGACCTTATAGTCAAACACAGGCAGCCATTAAGGTTAATTGTACAAATAAAAAAAAATCAGTTATGGGCAAATGGCTTACATAAAGCTACACATAAAAATATGAGCTTTATTTATAGATCAGATAAAGATAATCACTGTTACAGCAAACTGGTGTGTGTGTGTGTGTGTATGTGTGTGATGTGACAGCAGAAAGAAGAAAGGATAGAGTGTGTTTCCACTGAGAAACTTCACACATAATGAAGATAAAATGTTGACAACAGCTGACAATCCCTAATACCTGCTGTAACCTCTCGATGAGGATAACAGAGCGAGTGAGTGTGTTTGTGTGTGTGTGTGTGTGTGTGTGTGTGTGTGTTTTGCTGGGCCCAGCCAAAGTTAAATTTACAGAGTAGGAGGTAGAGAGCTGCCCTCAGGCTTAGTATCTGACACCAGGTGTGTCAGATGTGTGTGTGTGAGAGAGCAAGTCAGAGAGAGCTAGGTAACCTATAGCAAGTGTGAACAAGTAGAGCCCCTGTGGGGCTAAGCTGCATTGTTTAGTCATTCCTAAGTCTTGGGTATTTTAAGCACTTTATTCATCCTAAATTTTCTGACTTCTTGGGTGCAAACTTACACATTCTGTACTGCAGTTTTATCCTGAAAAATGCCCAGCATTGCTGAGGTGCAAACCTAAGGGTCAGAAGATGCTTGCCGATCATATTGGGGACTAACTAACTCAATTTGCAGAGGAAAAAGAAATCCACAGACTAAAAGTTTCCTTGTGATGAGGATCAATCTTCAATAGATTAAAAAAAAGTGCTTTAAATTTGCTATGTGTCCAAAATAAATGAGTAACTATGAATGTGTAAGCTAGTTATTCATATTCACTTGCAGAAGGAGAAACAGGTTTAAGTATCTTCACAGATTGTAGCACGTGTGACATTAAACCTTTTTCACAGCATGCAATTTGACTCAATAGTAAGTGCACATTAATAACGTTACTGATGTCGGAGGCACCATGAATAATACTTGGACAGTGAAACTAGAGCAGCTAATTGGAATGCGGTCCTAATTAACTTTATTATTTACACCTGTGCTTTTCTTCCTTCCATGTCAAGATGTCTCCTTAGAAAACAATTAAAGCTCATTATTTCGCTTCTCGGGGTCCCGTTGTCCACTGACAGCTATGCCACCTGTCTGAGCCTATCCATTGTGGGTCCATTTGAGGTTTGTTGAGGTTGGCTCCATCAGTGACTGAGGTTGTGCAACAAAGCGCTGTAGTGTTTCACAACAGAGGCAGTGACAACGGATCTCACCTGTTGGCTCCTTCCCGCCATGCGGGATTACACTATTCTGACAAGTGACCAATCCCACAAATTAACATCGTCTGTGTTAACTTTAAATTGCACAGCTAACACAGACACAGATATGGAGAAGTGAAGCTTGTTAATGCTTGTCAGTAAGTGCGACTGACCATACCTGTCAATCTCAGCTCCCGGCACTTGTTGCCACCTCCTGTTCCGGTGTATCTTGGCACTCCGACAAACCGGCTTACAAGTTCACAAGTCCTAGCATCTCTTCAAAGGGCGTCGGTCACGGCGTGAATGGGAATGGAAGTGAATAAAGTTTGCACCAGTGTGCGTTGAAGGGCTCACATGCGCAGCGGTCCTGTCAATAACAATCCGGCTTTGAGGCTACTGGCGTCAAGTCTATACGGTCTTTGTGCAACTCAAAGATCGTCTATGTATCTGAGGGTGGGCCACTTCAGTTACACACGTGCACTTTAAAAATATACGCATTGGCCTAAGTAAAAACGACTATAGTTAAAACAAATGTAATGCAGCTGTAGGTAACATTTTGTTAACGTTTACACATTGGCATAATTTGTACTTGTCACGTAAACGAGCAGAGAGATTTTTGTGCGAATTCCGTATGTTGCTCTTGTCTTCATATACACTTCCCCGCTGGTCCGGAGCCTGCTGACAGCGTCGAGAGGGTTTGTTTATCTGTATCAGCTCCGTTATTGACTAGCAGAGGAAATATTACTGCAGTGATTAACTGTTAACATCTACACAGCTCCCGTTATCCACCACTCCATGACGGTGTTTGCTGCAGTAAGACTCAGCAGCGAAGTGATAGGTCTTGGCATCTCTTACATCTCTGGTACATTTATGGCTGTCTGTCAGCCCACTCTTAAAGAAACACGCCACTATTTTTCAATATCGCAACACTTAACTGCAGCGTCTACTAAGAGTTTCGAGGTTTGGTTTGTATAATATATTCAAACACATGTAATTTTAAATCTTTGTGTTGCTATTTACACAAAAGTCTGAAATAAACAAAATCAGAAACGCTATTGCAAGCTGAGAAGGGATTCTCTGGTAAATATTTCCCCTCATAAAACCCTTTCAGACATTTGACTAGAAGAGGTTTGAGACCCTGTAATGCTCATCGCCTATTTAAAGCCAACCTCACTCTCAGAATTATACTTTAGTGAGAGAACGAATTAAAACTGAGAATCCTGAAGTTGTATGGTCTACTTTCTCTCCATCATCTGGTCAAAGGTTAAAAAGAGTTCCTCTCAAGGTGGCCTGTACTGGTGAAATGCTGCTGAATAATAAGGGCTGTTGATTTGAATTAATTATCGAGCTGCATGCATAAAACCAAAGATTTGTGCAGAATAAAGACTCAATGTAACAAAAAAACTAACGATTATTGCCAGTGGAGTTCAGAATTATTTGTGCACTGACAGTCTCATTTCAGTTATAACAGTATGTTAAGAATAGAACTGCTTCATTATGCCAATTCAATTTCATTATGGTCTGTTTACAACACATGCAAACACATTTTATTCATTCAGAATGTGTGCATGACTAAATTATTTTGAGATTGATTTCCAAATGAATGCTTCATTAGGTACTTTTATAGAAATCAAGTTACATTAAAACTAACAGTAACAATAAAATCATGAGTTACTCTGCTATTAGACGTTTTGAGGGATTTTGTCACTTAAAAATATTCAAAATGATACAGCGAGTACATGTCAGCCAAAACAGCGCACATTAATTAAATACACTCAACGAAAACCCTGAAAAAACCAAATCCAACAAAACATCAATTTCACTAAAAGAGAAGCCAGTGAGTATCCCTGCAGGTCCTGCCAAATATCTCACAGAAATAATGGGACTCCAAAGCTGTTAGGATTGCTCGACACAACTGTGAGCGAGCAGAGAATTAACAGACCCAGGCGGCTGGCTTTGGTGCAAGTAGTGAATTTATTTAACAGTGCCATACAATGTGATGGTGTGAATACAACCGGGTGTCGACCAGCAGTAGCAGTAGTTATTGTCCGTGGTGGGATGATGGGCCGGGCTGCAGGGGTAGGAATCACTCCTGGGCTGGTCGGGAAGGTGATCCGGTAGACTGAGGAGGTAATGGGAGAGTTCAGTTAAAGGGGAGACTGTGCATCGACCTGTGATGGTGGCTGGTGGAGCTGAGGGTGCCAGGATCCAGAGGAATGGTCCGTAAACGAAGAAGGAAGCTATGAATATACAACATACGTAGAACAAATAGAATAAGCTAACACATAAATACAAGGAGAGCTGACGACAGAGAAAGAACTGTAAGAAAAAGGAGACACTAGGAATTAATAACATATGTGGAATCAGGAGAATAGGCATAACACATAAATACAAGGGAGGCTGACGACAGAGAAAGAACTAGCAAGGGAGTGATAGTAAAGCCGAGTATAAATCAGGAGCAGAGATAATGGGACCCCAAAGCCACAAAGGCCTGTGGGGCCTGGTTCCCCGAGAGCTGCAGTGAAGACAGCGGGATCCAAGATGATGCTGAGTATGTTTCCACATTAGATGTACTAGTAAATGTACTTCATTAGTCGTTCCAATACCAAAAAAGATGCCAAACAGAGACATGGCAAAAAACTGAAGGGAAATTCAAGGTCAAGGTTCTCTTTATTGTCTCCCTTAGGAGAAAATTCACAATGGTGAAAAGGAAAAACTCTTTACAATGTCTACCAGGGAGATCATGATTGGTACATCACATATTTATTGTTGATAATTGTAATGCTGGAAAATTCGAATTAGCTCTCTACTGATTTTTTTTTTTTTTTTTTTTTTTTTTTTAAGTGAGCCCCTGCCCCTTAAAAAAAAAAAATCTCTACAGGTTCATTATCTAGAGACCAGATGTCCCCTGCTAGGGAGTCGGCACAGCTCTGAATGGTCCAGGTCGCCAGGGCAAAATGGTATCTGAACAGGTCGACGTCGGTGTCAGGGATTTTCCACCTGAAGGCATCGAGGTGGTGGGACAGAGCCTCCAGCGTGTGGGGGGGAGCCCAGCAGGATGTGGTGGAAAGGACTTTCTTTGGGAGAGATGTAAATGGACTGTATTTTATATAGCGCTTTCTCAGTGTGTTGCACTGGCCAAAGCGCTTTACAGAAGATCATACACCATTCACGCACACCGACGACAGGCTGCCATGCACCGGCGCTAGTCAAGCCACCGGGAGCAATTCGGGGTTCAGTGTCTTGCTCAGGGACACTTAGACATGTGGGGAGACCAGGAGTCAAACCACCAACTTGCTGGTCATGAGATGACTGCCCTACCTCATGAGCCACAGCCACCCCAGGATGTAAGGTGACAGGAAGTTGTGTTCCACTTACAGAAACAAGAGGAAGAGCATGAGATTGTGGAGAGCCTTTTTTTTTT